CCTCAGTAGGTCATCACACAGGGCGACCAATGCCGTCTCTGTCCCGTGGCGCGGCCTGAAGCCCGACTGGAATGGATCCAGGGCATCTGTTTCATCCAGGAGCGCCTGAAGCTGATCGGCCACCACCCTCTCGACCACCTTGCTAAGGAAAGAAACGTTGGCGACGGGCCTGTAATTGCCAGTTTCGTCCGGGGCCAAACTGGGTTTCTTCCTAATGGGCCTAATGAGTGTCTCCTTGAGGGCGGATGGAAATCTGCCCTCAAGGAAAGACCCATTAATTATTACAGTGGCCCATTCTGTTGTTAAAGGCCTGGCTGCTTTGATTAGCCAGGCCGGGCAAGGGTCAAGGGAGGAGGTGTTGGCACGGCAGTGATCAAGCGTCCTGGCCACGGAATCAGGCGTGACAGGCTGAAAAGAGTCAAAAGTTACCGGGCAAGACGGAGCGCTGGACATCTCCGCTTGACTCACTGTAATCATAAAAGGAGAGAGGTCCCGGCGGATGGCCTCCACTTTAGATTTTAAAAATGCTGCAAATTGGTCCGGTGAAAAACTAGGGGGAGGCCCATCACTCAGACCAATTCTGGATAGGTCGCACACTATACGGAATAATTCTGCCTGCTGATTGAACGCTTCGCTTATCCGGTTAGCGAAGTATGCTCGACTAGCAGCCTTTACCTTAGCCAGGTAAAGGTTAGTGGCGACCTTGACAGCTATCCTATTATAATCTGTCGAGTCCTTTCTCCACTTGCGCTCTAGCCGTCTCCTAACCCGCTTCAACGCCCAGAGATCCTGGTTAAACCAGGGCGCCGGGCGGAGTCTGCGATGGAGAGGGCATTTAGGTGCGATCGTGTCTACAGCCCTAGCCGCGGCGGCGAACCAGCCGTCAACCAGAGCCTCGACAGGAGCGCCAGCCAGGTCAGTCGTAACACCTCTCATGGCATCCTGGAAACCAGCTGGATCCAGTAGCCTTCGAGGGTGGACCATAACAATAGATCCCTGCTCCCTGTGAGGGGGGAGAGCCACTGTGATCTTATGTAAACATCAAAGGGATTCTCATTAAAGGAAAGTATTAATTTTAGAACTGTAGAGCTGAAAGGGACCCTTTGGATCATCAAGTTCAGCTGCTGTCAAGCACGCACAGTGGGGTATCAAACTCTGCAGCCAAATATGGAAATCACTGAGCTATCCAACACTATCCAGCAGTGCATAACAATATTGAGTCTGAACCTAAAAATCTTGACACTATCTGAGTCTACATTATTCAGTAGCTTTGGGCAGATGCTTCCCTTTTAATATTCAAATATTATTCAATGTCCTAATATTTATACTTAGATTTAGGGTTTTGAATTGATATGTGTACATAATTTCCAATGTCCTTTGGACATACTGGCTAATATCCAGTAGTAAGTCACAACTAGAGTTGGCCCATTGAACTATTGGTGAATTTGTGGATAAACTCTTCCATAAGTTCCATTGATTAAGTGGGTCTACTTTAGTTATGACATGCTACTAGATTTCCGTCATTATTTTTCTCTGAGACTTTGTTCCATTCTGTTTGTTTGAATTCATTATACTATTTAACTTTCTTAAGTCTAAGGAAGCAAGTTCTCCTGAGAAAATGAAAGGGAGGCACAGAGCAGCAGTGATATTCAAAACTGACATGAGAAGGAATGGCAGATAGTTCAGACCACAGCCACAGGCCCAGGCTAACAGGAAGAAAGATTAGTTTTGCTACATATGCTGGAATGATAACTTCCCTATCTTTCCAAAAACAGCAAAAAGTGGGGGTCTAAGTTCTTTTGGTTTGGATGACTACATGTGTATAAATTTGCTGGCTGCAGAAGTGCAGAAACTGTGGTGTTTCAACAATGCCGCAATCCATCCGCTATATTGGTAGTGATGTTCACTAGTGTGTCTTCATCTGCATGTGGGATGGAGCTCTGAAAAGATAATGACATCCCTTGCTTGTCTCCTTCCCCCCATTTGTAGGGAAATGCAGACAAATACTGTTCCCTGTTGCTTTGTATACGGAAAGATAGCAACGGGAGAAAGAAGAGGTGGTTGTTGAGGGACCTTATTTGATTCTGTCTCAAGAGAATGGGTTTGTGTCTTCCTGGGTTTCTTCAAGCATGTCTGGGACTCGTAAGTAGAAGTGGAGGTGTTAGAAGAAGCATTAATGTGCTTTCCCCGCTATTATAATATGCTACATCTAATTTTTGTTTTTGATAATATTTTTGTATTTATACAAAAAACAAATAAAACATCCCAAAGAGAAAAACAGTATTCCCCCACACTGGGACCATTTGGGAGTAACAACCTATACCGTTGACCCTTGTGGAGCCCCATTTCCCTTCCAGAATTGTATTAATTCTTGTAATGGGCTTTGTCCCTTCCCCTTTATTAACACAAAATTGATAAATTCTCCCCCCTATATCTATACATTCATCTATCTGTTTCTCCTCTCTTAAGTCTTATTTACATGCAAGCTTATTATTGATAGCTATACCCCAAACTTCCCTATACCAATCACTTAGCTAGATATTGTATGCTTCTTTAAAATTCCTAACAGTAATATATTTTTCCACTGTTAATAAACTAGAAATTAGTTCTTTAGTTGCCCATTTGCCTTCCTTCTTTTCAGATATTGATACATGTGCTCTTTTAGGACATACAGCTAAGTTTAACTTCCTTATTTCATTTATTTATTTATTTGAAAACCAATTGCCAGAATTTCAATATGTTCCGACATTCCTATCACATATTAAATAAGTGCCTCCTTTCATGCACCCTCACTAGCACATCTTAAAATAATTGTCATCTGTTTGATTTAATTTCACTGGAATTAAGTGCCATCTCCAAACTATTACTTTTTCTTCTTTTATTGTTACTGATGTAGATTTCAATATTCTAGTGTTTCATATATATTTTCCAAGCACTAGCACTTGTTTCTCCCCCTATTCGCCTATATATTGAATCCCTGTAACCAACATTCCCTCAAATTTTCCACTAGCACTGGGCAGAGGCCCCACCCTGCATGCACAGGATTCCAGCTGCTACTGGAAGCAAATGGGTGGCAGCACTGGCTCAGCTGCACAGCTCTAATGCGGCACTGTGCAGCCACACAGCCATGCAGCTTTGAGGAAATGTTTCCCGTAAAGATATATAGCCACAACTAAATGTGGAAAATATATGTTTTGTGTAAGTTGGGTTTCTAACATGATGACAAAGCGGCCTTATCATGTTCATGGTAATTGTTTATAGTTTATTTGCAGATGTTGGTATAAATCCTGACCAGTGGTATAACTTAAGGGTTTGGCAGTAGTTTTTGACACCTCATGTGTAGGTTAGCAGAAATTACATAACTACAGTTGTTTAACTGCCCTCTAAGAAAGATCACACTGCCATAGAAAAGAGTTACAAGCTGCAACCAGCATATACTTTTCTTTCCATTGTTATTTTCTCAATAATTGTAATTCTGGAAAGCTAGTTCCAGCTAATTGGTGTTAAAGTATTTAGAAAAGCTTTATTTTGGAAACTGCTTTAGCAGACATTCTAACAGCCATACTTGTGTTTTGTGTGTGTCTGTGTCTCTCACTCTGTGTATATAACAGAAACAGAAGTGTGTGCATCTCTTGCATATTATTTATTTAGATCTTTCAAGGCATGATAAACTGAAATTAATGGTTAATTTACATATAGCTAATAAAGTCAACTGTTTCGTTTTGTATAACAAGTGCAATTGGGGATGATGTCTCAAACATATTGCATATGTAATTAGTTAAAAACAGTATATGGTAAGGAATACCTGCCTAGAATTGCCTTTCAAAATAATAAACCCCACTGTAGGCATTGCTCTGCCTTTTGAAATGGTGAGAAGACATTGTAGTTTTACACTACCATTGTGCCTGTTTTCTGTATTTCATAAATGTTGTTCCTCATTCCATCCTCTGGTATAACAGACTCTAAAACATTCAGGTTTTAAAATATATACATTTATGTCTTCTTGTTGGTCAGTGTTTGTCAGGTTCAACTCCAGCCATGGTTTCCCAGTGGAGGTTGATTCAGACACCAGCATCTTCCAGCTCAAGGAGGTGGTTGCTAAGCGACAGGGAGTTCTAGCTGACCAGTTGCATGTGATTTTCGCAGGGAAGGAGCTCAGGAATGACTTGACACTGCAGGTAAGTCTCTCTTGGTAGTTTCTTTTCTGGGATGCTGCCCGCTTAACTGCCTCTGCCTCAAACACTGCCAATCTGACATTCACGCCTGAGATCTAATAGAATAAATAGTGCCTGGGGATTCCTTGAACTTTACTCCACACTGCTTCATTAATTCTGACCTTCTTAATTATGCATTAAAACAGCAAGCAGAAAAGATAGGGAGGAAGAAAGACTATGAGAAGGGGGATCGAGCAGAAGAGATCTGTACTTAGTGAATAAATGTTTACTGACTACAGGAGCAAGCTATGCACATTTTGTGTATCTGTTCAATTTCTACATTACTGATTCCATTTGAATCTTAATGAAGAAGGATGTGAATAAATTGTTCGAAATCAGGCTGCTCAGTCATCATGTTGTATAGAATTTGTAACCCAATTGTGACCTCTAGAGGATAATGATAAGGCTGCTCTTGCTGCTGTGTGAGAGTGTCTGTGTAAAGGGCAGGTGCCGATGAAATGTGGTGTTTGAAGGCCTGATCACAGAAGAAGCCACTGAAGCGTCTTCAAAGGTAATAGAATGATGATAAAATGTGCAGTCTGAATTGGGGGATGGGAGATGTAGAAGCCGTTGTGTTTGCTGCTGCTTTTGTGCCATCAAATAAATTCTGAGTAGAGGTGACCCTTTCCAGGGTTTTCAAGGTAGAGAGTACTCAGAAGTGGTTCACCATTCCCTTCTTCTAGGGGCAACTTGCCCAAGGCTACATTGGCTGGTTCTTCTTCCAGGAGGCAGAGTTAAACTCCCAACCTCAGGCTCTGCAGTCAGAGACCCAATGTTAGAGCGAAATTTCACATTCTTACTATCAGCTAATTTTGGTACACAAATGAAGGTGGAGGAGGCAGACCACCTGTTGTTTTCACTGTTGTTCTCCCTATCCCATTCAGTGTGCAAACAAGGGATAACACTATTGGCCTGACTTCCAGTGCTGTCTGATGAGATTAGGGCTAGGCATTTCGTAGGCCACCAAGATATTATTGGACTATAACACCCATGAATCCAAGGCAGCGTACTCAATGGCAAAGGAAGACAGGAGATGCAGTCCATCAGCATCTAGAGAGACACATGTTGCCCATCACATACTCCCTGTATATATAAATGGTAAGTGTTTCCACCCTGCAAGAAACAGCTTGACAAGACAGATGGAGGATGAATAATTTTTCCCCTAGTTAGGCTGATTACAGTGATTGGATGCATTGGTGCCTTTGTTGCTATCAGCATGTGTGATCTTTTCTTCTATTTGAAATGCCCTTTGATCTGGCAAAAGATGACAGGTGAAGATATGACATTCCTCTAAAGCTGGATATTGGCTGCCTTTGCCAAAGGGAAGGACATTGCTATGTTATACTGTGTTATTGCCATTGTATAATCAGAGTACAGAGTGTGCTACCGCGTTTTCTTAGCAGAAAGACAGGATTCTGCTTCCTCCAAATCACAAATATTAAGTAGGAATATATGCAAGAAAGGGGAAGGAGGGGAAAGCGGGAAGATAGCATTAGCAAAAACAACTGCAGACGAGGCAGCGAGAACTAATTGGGCTGGTGCAGTTACATGCATTTGGGTATGATTGTGTTTGGGTTGGGCAGGGGACTTAAGGAAGTAGGGCAAAAATTTCCCCAAAAGGTGAGTTTTGCGGAGGGAGGAGAGATGTGCCGTGAGTCTGTTTCCAAAGAGAAACAGAATCAAGGCACATGGTGTATTAGCAACATCAAAGAATGAGGCACATTTTGCAGTCACCCAGGTAACTGCATTTGGGGGAGGGGGAAGAAATGGGGGGAGGAGAGAGGAAAGGATTGGCCAGAGGCAAAGACTGTTTTCTAACCAGCCCAGATTAATTGGTGCTCATGTTTACAGCTGAGTGGGGTTATTGCTATGCATTGAATGGCTGCTGTGTCCAGTGTCAGACAGAGATGCTGCTTTATTGACATCCTATCACTTCTCCTTGCCTGCTATGATGTTTATCTTTTTTGTAAAATGCTTTAGGGAGTTTGGCCACACAAAAGAAACTATAGAAATGCAAATTGTTCTTGTCATTCTCCAGTGCATCTCCTGCTGATAAGCTGCAGATTCCTCCTTTGTCAGGCACCTTCCCTGACACTTATGTGGGGTTTAAAGGTTGACTCAGCCTTCTATCCTTCCGAGGTCGAGGTTGGTAAAATGAGTACCCAGCTCGCTGGGGGGGGGG